AGCATTTGCCTTCTTTATGTACAAATGAATTTATATTCATTATGAGTACTGGCACAGAATAAAACAACGTTCTATGGGCAGGAAATCCAGTCTTTTCTTTTCTTCTGGTCTGCTGAAGCATGAAGGTAGAGATCTAGGGTGTGTAAAGAGTTTACTACTGATTATGAAGATGTAACTTCATTAAACATCCTGGATATTTTGACAGGGAGCATGTTTCATACTATATCAGGTCAATATGTTGACTTGCGTACCCCAGCCTTGCTACAGTAAGCTACCACTCATTTCAGTCCAAAAGTCAAATCCAGACAACATTTCATAAAGGAACACTTCTTTTGTTTATTTTATAATACTAAATGAGTGAGAATCTAATATATTTGATGCTAAACAAGAGTGGAAATAAAGGCTGAACTGAAATAAATTGAAAAAAATTACATAATTCAATTCAGTAACACCTAAAGGGAATATTGTATTAGATTCTCCTATTCTTTTATGGTAATATGTTTGTATTTATAACTACAGGGTAGGATTTTGATAAAAACTTAAGGGAATTATGCATCCAGATGTGATCATATTTTACAATTAGGACACCTCCCTGACTTTGTCCCCTTCCTGTGCTTCAGCAGAAATGACAAACATCATTATAGACTGTTGAACTGAATCTTACCAGACATGCGAAAGATAATACTGTCCCATTTCACACAAAGAAAGTTCTTTCTCCATCTCTATGCATCCTAGTATACTTTTTGGTTTTTTTTTTTTTCTTTCTCCTGTGGTTCCCCAGCCCCAATTATACCTCCCAGGTGCTCTTGTTAGATCCCCCACCAAGCAGCAGTATCATTCCATTTCTTATGATGAAGATTTTTGGATCCATTAGCTACCTTTGTTCTTGTAAACTGGAAGCAGTATGAAGATGAACTGAGGACAAATGTTATTTGTATGTCAAGGGCTGGACTGTGCATCATTTTTGCCAAACCTAGCAGTTTTAAAACAAAGGTTTCACTGACTTTGAACATTCTTGTTGGTCTTTTACCATATTAAAGTAAGGTCCATTGACCTTCAAAAGAGATAGAAATCTGCCCAGAGCAACTCATCCTACCTATCTCTGATGCCAAGCTAAAAAAGGATAAAGTGACATGAAGTAGCAATACTGTCTGTGCTTATTGTCACGTGCATTCATTCTTGCTTTTAAAATGATAATCCCTTAGAACTGCAAAAAAACAATATTCAGAAAATAAACTACACTAAACATTTATTGGCAAGTCTTATAGGACTGATTCATAGCCTGTTTCTCTAATTTGTGGTCCTTATAGCTCCTTGGATGTGAATGGAATTACACAGGAATGATGCTGAAATATCATGTAGTCACAGCCCATAATCAATCTAAATTTTTTTCTTCTACAAAGCTGGTCTAAGGCTGAGTGTCTGAAATTACTTCTGGTATTTTCTACAACAAGGCAAAATCAGACTATGCAGAGAACTAAGAAGTAGATTTCAAGGTTTAAGCCCCTCTCTAATAAACGTAGGATACAGTCTAGGTGAAGCTGGGTTAATGTTCCTCAGACAAGTGCCTAATGCTTGTCGGTGCCACACAAATGGGTTTCCACAGCATATACTCACTGTGACCGTGTGATAGTACAGGACCCTTCAAGGTTATTAGTCTGTTCTTTTTACAAGAAGATTAGCTGCCCCAAGAGGCACAGAGGGATTTCCTAATATTGGGTCCCCGCATATGAAATACTCCACACCTCCTCAGACTTCAGAAATTAGCGGGGTTTTTTGTAAAGGAGCTCCTTGGCATCAGTTTCAGTATTGAAAAACTTAGAATAGTTACTTGCATGCCATCTGCTTAACTGTAAAGCAACACCAAATTAAATTTTTTCCAGGACCTGTTACTTGTGGAGGAGGAGTTAAGTTTTATTGGCAATATGTAGTATTTCTTTAATAGACTGAACCTTAACAAAATATACGTAGTTATATGTATATTCTCCTCCCAAAATGCAAATACCATTGGCTAGTTTCTGAGGAAGGAAGAGCATCTTCTGTTTACCTGTTCATTTGCTAAAATCCCCCAAACCGCACCTTTCTAGACTCTCTGAATCAATCTGGGACTGAAGCCAAAGTTACCTACTATATAAGACTGACAGAGCACAGGTGAACTAGTCCTCCTGACCAACTTTAGACCTGACATCCTTCTGCCAGACTCCACTCAAGATGGGGTTTGGCAGGGGGATATGGGTACAAGAATGGGCTTTCCTGTTTGCAGTTTGCTATGTCCATCAGATAGGTAAGAAGTTCTCTTTTTTATTGGGAAAAGAAAAATTACTTTGTTTAGATATAGTAATATATTTTAAACAACTATATTCATTTTATTACTTTACTTAACAGATGGTTGCAATGAAACAAGTTTTCTTTTTCGTTTCTTTAATTTTCATTAAATATTTAATATCTGTCTATTAACTGCTGACTCAATTTAATATTGCCTCATACTATGGCATATAACTACATTTGGAAAGCAGCCTTGAAGATAAAATCAAAAAGAACCATTATTCATGTCTTAAAATGCCATTTTTTCAGTACTGATTATGCCTTACAAAAGCATTTTATTCCTGTTGCATTTTGTGTTGGGATTGATTATGAACGTTATTTTTTAAATGAAATTTAAAACACTACATTTTCCAGTTACCAGATCAGACCACTGGTCAATCTTTTCCAATATCTTGTCACCTACCAGGAGCTAATACCAGATTCCTCAAGATTTCTTGCAACTTCTTTTTCAAAACAGACTGAAAGGGAATATTCTTTTAGCAATAATTTTCAGTAACTAAATGTGCATTCATAATACCATATGTAAAATATTTATCTAACTTACTGATATTGAGTGAGATCAGGACTGGGAGATTTATCTGACACATGCAGTCCATCATTTCACATGTTTTTTTCTTTTCCTGACAATATTATACACATCAGGGCTGGTCTTGGCAGTTTTTATTAATATGAGTAACTCTATTAAGTCAATGGGACCACTTAAATTGAAATTTGCATGAGTACAAGCTTGCTTTGTCAGTCCCATCCATGTACAGCAATTACTGCCCTGCCAGGTAACATTTTTAAATCTTCAGATTGCCTATGTAAATTTATCTTGCGTATCATTTTCAAAGCATTGAAAAGTGCAAATATAATTTTAGGCTCCTTTATAGTTTGTGAAATAAACACTAAAATACTCACAAGTTGATTCAAGCACAAAGTACAACAATCAGAGTATAGGCTTATGTTTAGAGTTACACAATGTCAGTCGAAAGCATTTTTAGACATTCATTGAACAAGAAAGTTATTTGTACTGTGCAAGGCTAATCTGATAAATTGCTTTGAAAAATGAGTAGTGGTTACACAGTGTCCAGCAAACTTCTCTTTATTTGAATCACACTCTGTGGAAAATATTTTCAGATATCCTGAGTAACTACAGAATATTGACCTATTCCCATGCCAACTGCACAAACATTCTGTGCCTGACTCTATATTTTGGGTCAAATACTAACTTTTATAAATTTATTGTAATCATAACTGCATGTGTGGATTGGCAACTGGATATAGACTTAACAAGATGCATCCAAAAATATTATTAATAATTAGGTCAGCTCCCAAATTATTGAATAGTGAATTATCTTGACTATTCTTACAACTGGGAGACACTTATTTTTATAATGGTCAACAGTGTGGTATTGTGCAACTGCTAAATAAACCAATGCAGCTAGAATTTCCCTGGGAATGATGTAATTGCTAAGTAAACAAAAGCCCCTGCTGTTTCCTTGAGAAAAATTAACAGACCAAAATACATGTATATACTATTTTGCTCTGTTACAAAGGTTCTCATGCTAGAATAAACAAGCATTCTACGATTCTATGCTTGCTGAGATTCATACAGACCTGTTGGATTAGAACAAATTCTGGTCTATTAGTAAGACTTATAGAGGCATTTGTCTCACTTCATCAGTATCAGTTTTTCTCATTTGATCAGTATCAATTATAAGAATGCATTTACCTAATGATATTATCTGTGACACTGAAAGACTAACAGGAAATGGAAAAAGGTTAAACTCTGTCCTAAGTTCCTTCTTTGCACATCCCTAGTGATCACACATAAGGTTAAATGAGAAAAGAATTAAAAGCTGCAGACTCTGCAGCAACTTCTAGATATGGTGAGGCTGCTCAGAACCCTCTCCTCCAAAGCCAGGAATCTCTTGGGGACCTCTTTGTGAATAGGGTCTCGAATCCCTTCAGACAGACATCCTTCAGCTCTGGGATCAAGTACTCAATCTGCTTACATGGTCAGCACAGCCATAAGTTATATTAGAAAAATATTAAAATAAAAAAGGTGCTCCTGATCTCATTATTTTTGAGGCAAAAGTAGTTGTCCAGCTGTCATGGAGGTATCTGAGCTGAGGTTCTTAAGTGGAGGAAATGCTCAGCAAAGAATTTAAGCACTTCAGCATTTCCCCCTCTCCCACCACCGTGGCTGCCTCTGCAGTTGGAGATGGGTGTTATGGATCCAGTTCTGACTCTGTGAACCCTTCCCACCTAATGTATAAGGAAAAAGAGGTCTTAATTTAGGACTAAATTACATAGGCAGTTCCTCTTGGACCGAGAAATTCTCCAGACACCTAGAGTGCTCATTCACATAATTCTGATGAAGATTCAGATATTAGTAATTTCATCACCTAAATCCTTTGAGGATTTAGACTTGGCAGATTATAGGTATATGTTAGTCAACATGTTCCAAGCATGGTTATCACATGATAACAGGATTTAGTCCTTCACAAAATGTGTTTGTATCCATGTTTCTTTCACAGGACACGCTTGCCATACTTGAGTCATAAAAGACAAGACCTTAGAGCACCAACCTATGAGCTCAGGGTCAGTCCCTCTCTAGTCATCAGTGTTCAGGTCACTATTTGTCATCTCTCAAAAGTCTTTACCAATACTTTCTCTGGTACTGCTGGGCCATGCATGGAAAGGAATTGAAAACTTATGGAGTTGTGACGGAGAGAAGGAGAACTCATTTGTAAGATAGTTCATGTAGTTGATCCAATAGCTATTTAACTGGAGGTACAAAAATAATCCTTGAAGTAAGGCAGAATAGGACAGTTTTGCTGTAGCAGAGCACCCTAATCATATGGTCGCCTGGTGATGGCCTATTTTTTCCTTCTTTGTCACTGTCCCACTGATTTCAACCCTGTGTCTCAGCTTCAGATGGGGGTAGCAAGAACCCTTGGTTAAATAGACTTCCAGTATGATGCTTAAAGGTTTCCAAAGAGAAGATGTGAATTTGAACCATCTCAGAATGAGAAGAGGGGTAGAACAGGAAACCTGGTTCTTTTGGTTACTTCTCCTGGGTCACTGCTCAGGGACATGCCCTTGTATTATCACTCAGTGGTATCTTCTTGCATCCAGCTCTAAAGTGAATCTGGATCCCTGATTGAGGCTTTAGATTTGCTCCAGAAGAAAAGGCTCTATGCTTAGTCACTAAAGAAACTGACATTACTGAATCAAGCCCTAAGTCTCTTGATTCTTTTAACCAGTTCTTTGCCTTCTCTTATTATTACCTAGCTACTGCACACCAATTTTAATAAATTACTCTCTTACTTTTTGTGAATTCTTCCTGTAATTGTTTCACATATTAGTGAAACAGTGTATCAGCGAGATAAGGGCTATGATCCAGTCATTAGAATCCCTTGTAGTGAGTTTTAAGAGAAATAAAGAAAGTAGATATACATGCAATGTTATTTGGATTTCAAACTCTATGTATTCGTAATAGAAAGTCTCTTTCTATAATTACATTTTACCTTTTTGTGGGGTCTGTTTGATTTTTTCTGATGTGATAAAGGACTTTCCCCTTTGTCTTACAGAGATGTATCTTGGTCCTTTGATCCTATCTAAATGCTTTGCTTTAGAAATTCAATTACAGGGCATGGTACTTAATATGCTTTTTACAATTTCTTCACAGGAGCCCAGACTGAAATCCAACAGGAAATAGGAATTACGTACACAGGGGTTCTTCAGGAAAAGCAAAACAGTACGTTCATCTATACTGTGTATTTCTGTTTGTATTTATTTCCTTCGGCTCTAATACATAATTAAAAAAGCCTAAAAAAACCTCCTTAGCATATTGCTGGTAATGTCAAATAAAGATAAATGTGTATTAATAATCCCCTCTCTATATAAGAATAGTAAGATCTTTATTAGATATCAATTACAAAACGCACACAGTATGGTTATGTTTGAATAGCAGGTAACTAAGAAAACAGATGCGTGTTTGTAGAGGCTGTATGCATATGTGCATGAATATGTATACATAAAATCAAAGTGGAATATAAGTACATTATGTTTGGTTACTTATAAACAAGGAAATGAGACCACTTTGTCAAGCTATGAAGTTAGCAGCTGATCTTAGGAAATCTGATTGATTTTTACCATGTCATGATTTGTGATCATGCTGTACAATGGATTTGTGGTCATTTCTCAGAGTTTTCAGCCCCTTAAAAGAAAAATATTGAATAGAGAGCAAAGGGGATAATTAAAGGGCATAATGAGAAGGCAACGATGTTTTTGTACCAGTAACAGGCTAATTTAGTACAACTTACCCCTTTGTATTGTTCAGCATGTCTGAAGCACTCCAATATGCAGGGCTGTGAATTTCTGCTCTCCTGAAGCAATGCAGAGTTTCATAAAAGAGTCAAAATTAAGAGGTAGAAAATGCAATCATCACAGTTGAAAGCACTTTCTTATGATTTAACTATCATGATTTTGAATTTTAGTATGCACGTTTAACCTGATCTGTGGCCTGTGTAAAACAGAACAAATTTAACATTTTTCACTGGATCCAGCATACTGACTTTCTAGTCCTTTCTAAGTCGATTTTGGGTGCAAATTTTGGTATTGTTATACTAGTTTTTGTTTCCTTTCTTACCTTTTTCTAGCTTCTGCTACAGTTTCATCTAAGGTCAACATCATCCAGCCAATGCTGACAAATCTGGTAATAACACGTAAGTAAAAGAAAATATATTCAATGTTTTCTATTTTAGGGGAATTCAATACAAACAGAGAAAGGTCCTGGTAAAGGAAGTCATGGATTAGTAAGAGGAGAAAGAGGGTGGATAAGAAACATAATGAACTGTTACCTTAGCTGAAATGTGGACAAGTAATAAAGCTATAACCACTTATAGGGGTACATGAGTAACAGATATGAGTGATGAATGAATGCACAGTTTTATAATGGATAGAGGGACAAAAAATAACAAATGAAGGTAAGCAGGTGAAAACTATTCAATGACAAAATCAAGCCTTGGAAAAGTTGATTTTCACCATGTTAAGGCTGGGAATGTTAAGTCATCTTTTTACAGCTATTTTTAATTCACAGCTTCCAATCCTGCTCACAATGGCCGTGTATGCAGTACATGGGGCAACTTCCACTTCAAGACCTTTGATGGAGACATATTCTCCTTCCCTGGACTCTGTAATTATGTTTTTGCATCCCATTGCAACACTCCCTATGAGGATTTCAACATCCAGATTAGGCGCATAGTGGTGGAAAATGCTCCAACAATCAGCCGTATCACAATGAAGCTTGAAGGTGTAGCTGCTGAACTAACAAAGGATGCTGTCATGATCAACAGCAACAGGTAAGTTTATTCATAACACTTGTTTGGTAACCACAGACATTTTATTTTTTTTTTTCAAACTTGTGAAGTAATTTTGTGTATTTGGGGGAAAAAATTATATGTGCTTCAATAAATCTGACAATTTTACCAACATAAGTAGCGAATAAGTTGCTATTAAATCCTTTTACAGTAAGTAAATTCTTCCCTCAAAGATTACCCCAAAAATAAAATTTGGATGAAAAATCCTGAGAGGCTGGATCCAAATTCAGATCCATATTTGATGATGTTGGACCATCATATTTTTTAATCGCTTTTCTTTCCATATACAACTGTATTATTTTAGAATCCCTACTAATGCTGGATACCGCAAGCTATTTTTTTCTCTTTATCAAACATTTGGATCAGAAAATACCCAGCATTCTTTCTGCCTTTTCCCAGAGTTCAACTGCCATACAGCCAATCTGGAATTACAATAGAGAAGAGCAGCATTTATATGAAAGTTGCCAGCAAAATGGGTATTATGTTGATGTGGAATGAAGATGACAGTGTCCTGGTAAGAACTGTTCTTGGACCTGTATACACCTTCAGTGACCAGAGCTAATCTTCAATTAGGCCGGGCCCTATCTGCTTAGGGGCTTACTATTGCCTTCCTAACTCATATTGTTGAGCAATTCCTTCTTAATAAAGATAGGTTTGCATCTAGGTAGCCTTATAGAAAGTTATATGGATTTACTTCTAGTGGATAGCAGACGTCTGCTTAAAATAGGGTGAAAACCCATTTTAATTATATCATTAACATATTGGCAGTGTAATAGGGCCTACTTATTGCTTCAAATACCATTTTCTAGCAGAATTTCAGTCTCTTAGGACTTCATTTTGCTGTGGATTTGATTTTCTTTCTGAAGAGTGGATAGAGAGAAAGAAGCTGAGAGCAATACAGATATTGCAGTGAAAACTTAAGTCTGCATCAATAGCATCAATACTTGGACTCTGCACTGTAAATCAGCTCCAAGCCAAGTCTTCATTCTATCCCCCAGATTTCAATTAGATTGCTAAATAAAATTACACAGATCGGATGAAAAATACAGGCAGCAGTGCAGGTGCTTTCAGTGATCTTGAATATATTTTAGAATGTTTATACTAACTTCTATCAACTTACTCTCCATTGTTTTAGCTGGAATTGAATGAGAAATATGCCAATCAGACATGTGGACTTTGTGGGGACTTCAACGGCTTTCCAATTTACAATGAGTTCTATTCAAATAGTAAGTTTTTTAAATAATAAAAATTGGTTTCTGGAGTCTTCGACATGCTTTTTTTGTATTCTTTTAACTCTAACATCATCAGCATTCCACTTCCCTATCTTGTTAAATGATTACCCAGAAGACATGATTCAATCTCTGTTGACAAATCTGTATTACAGAGATCAGATAATAAGATTTAATACTTTAGGTAGAAGTATAGTACTGGTGCTAATAACTGATTGCGTATTTCTTGTATGCCAGGATTTATTTACCTGATCAGCTAAATCCATAAACGTGACCCAGATTTTTACTAATAACATAGATAAATATAGAAATATATTCAATAAAACAAAAGGTAATTGTATTATCTAGTCAGTGCATTTATTGTTTCAGCTCTGTCTTAAAATTGGCATATCTGCATTTGCCTGCTGAATTGCATAGTCTTTATAAGATCTTATCTTCATCATTCTTTTTCCTAAACCTTGTCTCACAGCACTCTCCATTGTCCAAATCCCTGTCTAGGTTCTTTTCTCTCTTCCCTGCATGGGGTCAACATAATCTGAAAACAGTTCATTATTTTTCTGGTAAAAATCTTAGTTTGCATCTAGATGTAATAGGCTGAGAACTGTTTTCTAATGCTTACTTTTTCCAAGGTGCTGTGCAAGGTAAATTGAGACAGTGTTTTCTATGGACCAGATAATCTTCAAATTTAAAGACATAAGGGAACTAGCTGGGTTAGCCAGTCTTGAGCAGAATTCTTGAGAGGAGAAAAGGATAACAGGCTGATACATTGAACAACTCCCCCCAACTTTCATTATTAAACATCTTTTGTACAGATATTAAGATGACAGCCTTGCAGTTTGGGAATATGCAGAAAATGGATGGCCCAACGGAACACTGTGAAGACGCCACTTCTACCCTGACAGCTAATTGCACTGATAATTTTGTAAGGATATTTTGACTATTCTTTTATTTTTCTTTCAAATTTATCTGTACCATTCTACACCTTCAGATGGGTCAACAGGAAAAACCCTTGGGCAATAGCAACTTAAAGAGGGACATAAGATTCCATCAAAGAATTATTATACAAAGTGACAATGCCAAAAAAATTTGCTTCTTTCTATTTTCTGGAAGCTGTTTAACTTTTTTTTCTCCCAAGGATGACATATGCCAGAAAACATTGACCAGCTCTGCATTTGCTGAGTGTAATGAACTAGTTGATGTTAGAGAGTACATTATGACTTGCCAAGAAGACTTGTGCTACTCTGAGGAGTCTAAAAACGCCTCATGCATCTGTGACACCTTTGCTGAATACTCCCGGCAGTGTGCTCATGCTGGTGGGCATCCTCTGAACTGGAGAACCTCAGTACTGTGCCGTAAGTATCACTGGAGACAGCCTTACTTTATGCTCAATAACTAACAAACAAGCTCTCAAATGATGCTGAGGATGCATGAGAAACCACAGGCCATTCAAGATTCCAAAGGGTTCTGATGTACAAGCTCCAGCATGAAGACTTCAGCAAAAGAGCTAAGGGTTTTAGTGCAAACTAGATTAAACACTATCAAACACTTAGATGGATACTTTGAGAGTCAAACTGTTATTTAATTAAGTGGGACAGTAGAGAAAGCAAATAAAGGAGAAACAATGAGGCATGCTTGCTTGTATTCTTATTTCTCTCATTTCCTCATGGTGGCTACAGCATTTATTCTCCTCTTGCTAGGTAGTGAGGAAATTGCACCACTGTAATCTTCACAGAAATTTGCCCCAAATTGAACACATGCTAGATTATGGGGTTTAGGTGTTAATACTGTCAGCAGCATTTGCTCCAAAACAAAACCTTATGAGGTACTATTTGACCTTCCAATGGTATCTGAAAAATGCAAATATACTAAAAATTTAGGAATTTAAGTCTTACATTTCACTAGCAATACAGGTGTTCATAAGAAGGGTGCCTTCAGTAAAAACACAGAACTTGCTGACTTCTTGGGGTCATTACCTTGCTGCCCCCAGATACCCACTCATTTAGCCAGTTCAGCACCAGACAGTCATAGAAAGAACATCTCAACAGTGAAATATAGATCTAGGTGACTAAATCTGCAATTTTTGAGACCTGGCAGTGAATCTGCAGTTTAGTGTGGCTTTACATCTAGCTTCAAAACTTAAGTGAATATAAATATTTTCATCTACAGTGAACTAGAAATACTTTTGACTGAAAAAATTTCTCCTCCTTTAAAATTTCAGCCAAGAAGTGTCCTTACAACATGCAGTACCAGGAATGCAGCTCCCCCTGTGCTGACACATGCACCAATCCTGAAAGATCTCAGTTTTGTGAAGAACACTGCATGGATGGTTGTTTCTGCCCTCCAGGCAAGTTATTATGTACTCATATCTCTGACCTCAAAGAACAACAGCTTACCTGTAGGATTTGGGTGGGTTCCATGGAGCGTAAGCCTACTGTATTTGCATTTTTCACAGCTGCAAGTGATAAGCATTTGTCATGTCTCAGGTGATAAAAGATATCTGAATTAGTTGCCAATGCAAATGCAGTATTCAGAAAGCAGGAAAGCAGAACAGCAAACAGATCAAGACTAGTCTCTCAACAAGCCACCTGTGCTACAATAATTCCCTGTTTCAAAACAGGTGGATTTTAAGAATACAAAAGTTGAATCCTTCACTGTACAAATTGACATAGTCCTCAGCATAGGTATGTCCATTCACAACAGCTGCAGATCTGCTGTGTAGGATTTGTAACAAACAAAAAAGGTGTATAGCTTCTTTAATCAAGATTTTGTCTATTTTTTTTAATCTAGGGACTGTATTTGATGACATCAACTATTCTGGCTGCATTCCCCAACAGCAGTGCTCCTGTATTTACAATGGCAACACCTACGCTACAGGAACTTCTTTTTCAGAGCAGTGCCGTTCCTGGTAACCTTTGTTACTTTTCTAACTTACTATTTCCTCTCATATATTTAATGAGTGTAATGATTTGTCATATGCAATTGCATCATTGGTAATTGACATGTGTATTTAACTGACCACTACAGTTTGAAAATAACCCTAAGGAACATTCTTCGTTTTATTTAGCAACAGCCTTAACTAGCTTTGCACTCTAACTCAAGGTGATCAAAGCAGGGATTAACAATATTTAGATTTCTCACCAGTCCATTAAAATACTTCCTCTTTATTTTGTTCAAACATTTGGACTTCTCTAAGGGGAATGAAGTTGCAGTCATTTATGTATTTGCAAATATTTATTTTCTCTGGAGAAAGCGAGGGATGATACAATACAATCTTTATTTCACAATTATTAATCCTGTATTTGTGCACTACCACATCACCTTAGAAAAGAGTGCATCAGAGTAGACGTGGGGTTACATTTCTTTTAGTTTCTGATATATTTGTATTGAAAAAAAGCAGAAGAGATTTTAATTTGTCCTTGTGCTTTATGTTAGCTGCAAAAAACAAGTAACTACTCATCCTGTACCTGTTGCTGCAAAGTTCACCTGTTCAAAGAGGGAAAACAATTAAATAAGCAACATGAATGCATACGAGAGTCATTCTTATTACGTATGTTCACAAGGTTTGGAAAGTCTTAAATTTACTGTGTGTCAAACTACAGCTTGAAGGGAAAAGCAGTAGCAAAATAGGTGATGTCACTGTAATTTATTTTACTCTCAACCGCTGTTACTGATTTTAGCTAATGTTATTCTCTTCCAGTACCTGTAATGGAGGCCAGTGGAGCTGCCAAGACATGTCATGCCCAGGAGTATGTTCAGTAGAGGGAGGTTCGCACATTACCACATACGATAAAAAACATTATGATCACCATGGAGACTGTACTTACATCCTTTCTAAGGTGGGAATCAGATATTAATAGGTCATAAAGCCTTATACATTTATAGAAAGAAAAGGTGATCTCAGTCAACACTTCCAAAACTTACCTCTTTTGGTATACAGGCATTAACTTGCCTCTTGCCTAGCCAGATGTTTACTAGAACATATACTGCCATTCAAATGACAATCACCAGTTAACTATTAGGATGTTATGGAACAGTATATGGTGTTTACTGGGTAATTTCCAGTTCTATGATGTAGTAATTTCTGAAGAGCATTGACTTTTTTAAAAACTTGCTTAGTAGTCTACATTCTTCAGTGTGATTAATCCAGCTTTCTTACTGAGTTGCATAATTTTTGCCATGTTATTGTATTACATGGTATTGGAACCTGTAATTCTGTAATTAGCCTTCCATGAAATAACTCCCTGCATTTTTTTTCAGCACTGTAATGATGATGAAACCTTCACCATCCTGGTAGAACTACGCAAATGTGGCCTGACAGACACTGAGACATGCTTAAAGACAGTGACCCTCAACATGAATAAAGGACAAACTGTAAGAATGCAAAATGAACACAGGAAATTACTATTAAAAATATGGGGAGCAAAGTTTCTAGGCCTTAACCAGTCAGGGAACTGAATTTCTCTCTCAAATGGTCAGCATATGTGATAAGTACATATTATTTTTTTATCAGATGAAAAGAAATAGATTTTGTTACGAAAATCAGATCAGGCTCAGTCTTAAATTAGGCATTGTGAAAGTTCATTAAGAAAAATGTTTTACTCACAAAGCAGAAAAAAGCTATTTTCTCAGCCAATTAGATGGAAAAACCATGAGCTTTTAGGTTAGAAACGACAAGTACAACAGTAAGGGCTATAATTCATCACAAAGATGTATTCAAAGAAACCACGATGATGTAATTCCCTAAGCTGTAAACTGTACAAAGTGGAAAGAGGGACGAACTGAAATCACAAAAAACCCTAGATTTTTAATTTAGTAACTTTTAATTAGTATCACTGGAGTCATCACCATTATTATTCTTTGGACTATAGTTATCTTTCACACAGTTGCCTTTTCTTTCTCTTATCAGCTCATCGAGGTGAAACCTGATGGTGGTGTGTTTGTGAACTCGATCTACACCCAGCTGCCCTTCTCAGCAGGTATATTTTTAATTTAACATTCCGTGAACAATAACCTCAGAACCTCATCTCTGCACCTATGTATTTTCTTAAAATATGAAAGACCTCATTCAGAAAGCGATCATCCTGTCTTTCATCTGTAGCTAATTCCACCGTGTTCAGACCATCATCATTCTTCATCATCATGCAGACAAAATTTGGTGTCCACCTTGAAATCCAAATCACACCTATCATGCAAGTATATGTGCGACTGGATCCTATTTTCAAAGACCAGACCTGTGGTAAGTGAATAAATGTAACAACACCTTGCTTAATGTTTTTTGTCTAGTATGAGCAGCCTAAACTTTTCACCGCTTTCAAACAGGTCTCTGTGGAAATTTCAATAATATCCAGACTGATGACTTCATGGCCATAAGTGGAATAATTGAAGGAACAGCAACAGCATTTGCTAATACGTGGAGAACTCAGGCTTCATGCCCTAATATCCAGCGCAGTTTTGAGAACCCTTGTGCACTCAGCATTGATAATGGTGCGTGCTTCTTAGAATTTTTTCTAGGGTTTTTTTGCTTATCCCTCAGGAAAAAACATTTGCATTGGAAAGCAAAGATAAGATAATAAAGACATATACTTGGCAAATGCATACATCTGCAATCAGAAACAAATATTCAAAATGAAGGCACTAAGGATTAGTAACAAAGTAAAGGAACAGTCATAGAAACATAACTGAAGGGAACTAACATCATTGAAAACAGAGGGGATATCTAACCTGAAAACACGGTGTCAGAAGAGTGGGTTGCAGGAGTTATCTTTGGAAATCTTTTATTCACCCCCTTCAGCAAGTCCTCTTCTTTGGTTTCAGAAACGTTAGCCCACAAAAGACGGAAGAAGGAGAGATTTGATGTAATTTCAGAACTGGCTTTTTCTGAGTTATAAAATACAGAGTAATCATGTGTATTTCCATTTTTTGTTCTCTTCACAGAAAAATATGCTCAGCATTGGTGTGGACTACTAACTGACAAGCAAGGACCTTTTGCTGATTGTCACTATGCAGTGAATCCCTCTGTTTACTACACGGTACTTTGTTAGACTCTTTTTCCCTTTAGAAACAATAGAAATAGTATTACAACTAGCCACCAGAAAAGGGCTGTTCCAAACACGTCTTCTTTTGTGTTATACAATGCCTGTATTTTCAATTCCGCACGGCAGCACTTCCTTCTTTCAACATGCGTTTCTGTTTGTGTTGCAACATTACATCCAGGTATGGACACTGGTGAAATGACGTGTTTAGACTGCCTTCTGTGAATAGAGCTTTGTACGCTATTGTGCAGCATATTAGTAAATACGGTTCAGAGGAACATGAAGCTTATACTCTTAAATGTGTAAGAGACTTTAAAACCACCATTTCCCAATAATAACTACAAACACTGACCAAATTTACATTACCTTCATTCTCCTCTGCCAGGAAACTTAGATAAAGACTGGAAATGGATAAAGCTATGTTGGTGTTGTCTATGAGTGAGCATATCTGAAGAATGATTAGTGCATAAGACAAGAGAGATAGCGTTCATTTTTTTTAGATTGACGATATTATCAGTACCAAGATTTTCTTTTTCTCTGCATTCTTAGAACTGCATGTTTGACACATGCAACTGTGAAAATAGTGAGGACTGTCTGTGTGCAGCCCTGTCTTCCTACGTGAGAGCATGTGCTGCAAAAGGAATCCAGCTGAGTGGATGGAGGACTGACGTCTGTTGTAAGTGCTCTTAACTATGCCCTCCCCTAAGAACGCACATCAATAAAACCTGCTGATCAGTGATTATTTTATACTGATTTCTAGACAAATATAGTGAGTGCGAGGTAGGGATTTTGTTAAGTGCACTCCTGGAATTGTCTGCTGTTCCCTTAGAACAAGAGCAAAGATGAATAGATGGCAGACGTAGCTTGCTTAGGAAAGAGACTGCTATTAGGGAAGTGCCTCCACTTGTTTCTGTATGACTTTAAATTTCACTATAGCCTTATGTATCACAAGTTATTGTAGAGAAAAGGTAACATATTAGAATAAGACTACTAATAATACTAACCAGAACACTTGCGGGTCTCTAAAGCTGCATGCTGGGTTCCTTTGACCCAGTATGTCTGTTTTCAGCACACCAGGAGACATTCACAGAAACATCTTGTCCCGTACGTCAAAAAGTTTAGAATTCTTGGCAATGAATGGCAGCAAAAAAGGAGGGTTCTTTCTGAAATTTCATTTGAAAAAATATTTTATTATTTGCATATTTCACTTATTCCACATGTACAGTAGCTTTTCAGGTCTAACTCAGGAAGTACTCAGAAATATATTGATACGAAAGATGCAACATAGGCAGAAGTGTACAGTACTGTTTATATGATATTTCTACTGCATGTGGTTTCTCTTTTCCCACCAGAAATTACCATCTGTAATTAACAAACCTATTTTATTTTTCTCTCTCAAGCAAAATACACCACCACATGTCCCAAATCCCTAAGCTACAGCTATACCATCTCTTCCTGTCAACCCACTTGTCGGTCTCTGAGTGAGCCTGATGTCACATGCAACATTAAGTTTGTCCCAGTCGATGGCTGTACCTGCGTAAATGGAACCTACATGGATGAAAGTGGCAAATGTGTGCCTGCTAATGAATGCCCCTGCTACTATAGAGGATCTCCCATACCATTTGGAGAAGTTGTCCATGAAAATGGGCTTGTATGGTAAGTGAATCTTTTGCAAAACACTCAAGCAATAGCATATGTAGTTTCTCATTAAAATATGCTACATTTAAAATGGTCTCATCCTGCCTTGCCTGAATTTCAGTACAATGCTCTCATTTTTTCAACTATATTTTCAACTTCTAAGAATGATACATATTCCCCTGAGCTGGAAGACAGGGATGGGAAGCAGAATGAAACACCTATAATCCAATAGGAAACAGCGATCTGCTACGCCACGTAGACACACACAGATCTATAGGGCCAGATGGGACCTTCCCAAGGTTCCCAAGGGAGCTGGTCGATCTGGCCCAGTCAGCATGGGTTTAGGAAAGGCAGGTCCTGCTTGACTAACCTGATAGGGAAAGGCTGTGGATGTTGTTTACCTGGAATTTAGTGAAGCTTTTGACATGACTTCCCAGAGCATTCTCCTGGAGAAACTGGCTGCTTATGGCCAGGATGGGCATAGGCTTCACTGTGTTAAAAACGGGCTGGATGGCTGGGCCCAAAGAGTTGGGGTGAATGGAATTAAAACCAGGTGGGAGGCAATCAAAAGCGGTGTTCCCCAGGGCTCGGCGGAATCAACCCATGATTTTTCCTCTTAAGCAGTAATTAGTATCATACGAAAGCCACAACAGAAGTGGTATTGAGGGAAATTCTTTCCTGAGACTGCAAAGAAGCATTCTGGAATTCCTTCACAAATTCTGAAACTTGACAAGAGAGAAGTAGCTCTCAGTTGCAATACAAGGTCTGAGAGGGGAAAAAAAATATGTTTTTCCCTCTCTTACAGCACTTGCATCCAGGGAAGACTGAATTGCATTGGAACACCCAGTCCAACTCCAGGTAAAATGAAGTCTTCCATTTCTCTTTTTCTCTGTGCCAGGTTTTGGACAGAAATAGATAGAATTGATCTTTCTTAATGGATTCTTAAATAATAGAATTGTTTCTCAGTTACAGTGCAACAGTCATCATAAAAGATGGGAGTGAACCTAGATTAATGATAAGAAGTCTTTTTCACAAAGATTTTTTTCTTAAATACTGCAGGGGGGTTTCTGGAAATTCAGTGCTATGAAGTTAATCTATTTAGCAGATTGAATAGGGACAGCAATCCCTACTAACTGAAATATGCACTTTCCAAGGAATTTCTAGATGGTTTTAATGGCTACAGCCGTGGGATAAAACATGTGTGTTTTCTTACTGCTTCCCCTTCTTTCCTTCCTCTAGTTTGTGAATCTCCTATGGTCTACTTCGATTGTGGAAACATCACCGCAGGAATAACTGGAGCAGAATGTCAAAAAAGTTGCCAGACTCTGGATATACAGTGTGTAAGTATGTCATGGCTGGATGAAATGGTGCTTCCAGATTTTGTCTGTGCTTTTGGTGCTAAATTGATCCATCTGTCTGATCTACTCCAAATCTACAACACAGATACTTTGTTCTTGTAGCAAAACCCTAAAACCATGTTATGAAGCATTAGCAATGGGACCTTTAGACCAAAATATAATAAAGTAACATCCCATTTAATTCATAAGATTACTGTCTACCTAACTTCAGCCACTGCAGGTAACAGTAATTAGTAGTGAAAATATCTAGGGGTCAGCTACACATTTTAGTTCTTTAGGAGAAAATAACTGACTACAAACTGGCTAGGAGAAATCATTCTTTCTCATAGCATGATGCATTTGTGAACTTCTTGCACATCTAATTATCACAGACATTAATCACAGAATTTTCATGGTTGGAAGGGACCTTTGAGATCATTGAGTCCAACCACAAAAAAACCCAACCAACCAACCAACCAAAAAAAAAAAACCACCACCACAAACAAACACAAACCAACAATCTCGGGCACTAGAGCATGCCCTGAAGTGCCACGTCTACACATTTCTTAAATACCTCCAGGGATGGTGACTCCACCACCTCCCTGGGCAGGCTGTTCCAGTGTCTGACCAGTCTCTTAGTAAAGTAATTCTTCCTAATATCTAATCTAAACCTCCCCATATTACTTCACATAGGTGCAAGGTAGTCACATGCCATTTCATTAATAAGATGAATAAGCACCATATGAGATAAACAGATTTCAGTGAAACTCAACCAAACTGAAAAAAAAATTTACTTATTTTCTTTTTAAAGCTCCATTCAACCACAAATCAACCACTACAAAGTGCAAGGGTTCTTCACCTAACACAGAGCAAGACTTAAGATTAATGTATTTCAAATTTCACAGGCTCCAGCACAGCAATCAGAATTCACATACATAAAACATTTAACAGATTTATATTCTATTAAATCAATGGCTAATAACTTTCTTTTTATTCCATTGTCCTATAAGTACTTCATAGTCTTCTCCCATTTAAGCTGGGCAGAAATAAGACCATATAAAGACATTTTATGATAATTTAAACTTCCTTTTTCTATTGTGATTATTTCATCATGAAATTGTATCTTCCTCTTGACTTTTCCAGTATAGCACACAATGTACATCTGGTTGCGTATGCCCAGCTGGGCTTGTGTTGGATGGGAATGGTGGCTGTATTCCTGAAGAGGAATGCCCGTGTATTCACAATGAAGTCATTTATCAGCCTGGGGAAAAGATCAACGTTGACTGTAACACCTGGTAAACATTTTCTTGGAAGCAGTGTTCCTGGTTTCATCATTTGCTTTTCCAAAGATCTTAAATAGTACAGCAGTGAGGAAAGACTTTTATTGCACCTTTCATCAGTTGATGGGTCTTTTAGTTTTGAATGAAATAGTATGAGCAGGTTTCCTTCTGATTTAGGCAGATGGCCAAAGCACAGAATGGGAGGAAAACTTTGGGACTACAGCATTCATTAAGTATTATCCTGTTTTGCAGTTAATGCACTCGGAGTAGCAGAACATAATTTTGTTATCATTCTTTACATGAAAAACATAAAAGACTATTTTAACTCCAAAATCAGTATAATATTTAGCAGGGATGAGTTGCCAAACAAATACTGAGTTGTTGGGATATTGTCTACATGAAACAGTGAGTTGTTTTATTATTAAAATGTTTTATTCTTATTCCTAGTGTATGCAAGAATAGGAAGTGGGAATGCACGGAAGAGGAATGTCTGGGCACTTGTGCTATTTATGGAGATGGTCATTATAATACCTTTGATGACAAGAGGTTCAGTTTCAACGGAAACTGTGAATATACACTAGTCCAGGTACTGGGAATTAGCAATAGTAAATGAGACATCACCTTAGTCGTGTCTACAAAAATAAAGTATATTTTTAAATGTTATTTTCTACCCAGGACCACTGTGGGACAGTCAATGGGACATTCAGGGTTGTCACTGAAAATATTCCCTGTGGCAACACTGGGACAACTTGCTCAAAATCTATCAAAGTTTTCTTAGAGGTAAGAAGATTTTGCATATAGAGCAGTTTTGTTCTGTATCTGTTCAGGGCTTGGGAGAATGGATTATTTGTTTTCATTACACGAACTGGTCATAGCACTCTTAAAAGCAGAAGAAGATGTTTAAGAGCACAGCTTCAGTTATTGATTTAATTTCTAATCACCTTTTCCTCCTGTTTCAGAGCTATGAACTGATACTTGGTGAGGAGCATGTCAGTGTTGTAAAGAGAGGACAAAATGATGAGGTGCCATACACACTCCGCTATATGGGTATGTACATAGTAATTGAAACCACGAGCGGACTGATCCTCATGTGGGACAAGAAAACCAGCATCTTCATCAAGCTCAGCCCTGATTTTAAGGTATGAAACTAGCAGTTAAATGGCAATTTACAGTCCAGACTTGCACTGGGTGTGAATTTTGTTGAGACCCTGCCAAGATCCCAAACAGGTGATGTCTCTAGCATTCCTGCAGGACATCCCATATTGGTTTTCATTCCTCTGGTGCCTCTGGAAGCTCTGAAGGCAGCTTTCAGTGCCTATTTGGCCTCACAAAACTTGAGCTGGCAAAACACTATTTTGGACTTTGTTAAAAATACTCACTGAACCTTGGTAAAGGTTACCAGACCTTAATAAAATTACATAGCTACATAGAGAGATCAATAGAGTAGTCTTGAACTTGAAAGTAATCCTTTGTTTCCGGCTCTCAACGTACAAATTAAATTATCATCCTTCAATAACAGGGAAGTGAAATATTATGAGTGAAACCCTTTTGTAAAATGCTAATATGTATTTTTCAAGTATATATCTATACAGGTGATAAGGAAAATGCATTCCTGTTCTCATATTCCTTCTCCTAGTTTATGATATATAAATACTAAAAACTGTAGTAAATGAGGAATTTGCTACCTTATTGTATACAGCAGTGACTTATCAATTGGGTATATAAATTTAGTGTAATTTAGAACTAGATATACAAATTTATTTCAGTGTCATGGAGTCTTTGGCTTCCTCACCCACTGGCACTTTATAAAAATAATAGTAATATGGAAAGTATGCACCTTAGGTTCATAGAGAAAGCATAGCATCTATTGTAGCCTATCACCGTTTTACAGACCATAAACTTAGAATGAGGAATATTTCTGCATATGCAAAAAAATTACATTTTTTTCACATGTGTGAGCAGTCATCAGTAAAGACGTGAGTAGACTATGTGGCTGGACTGGTAGTATTTATTACAGCTTTGTAAGGCTTGTTTTCATATGTACGTATATTGTATAAAACAAGGCTTAAATGAAAAGCTTAGCTGGCTAACTGTGAGTCCTCATTTCATTGTTAAAGACATACCTCAAAGAAAGTTACAATGACAAAGATGGTTTTCTTGTTCAGATTTAAAAGAAGAAAGGTCAACAGCAGTATCCTTCTAGCTATAGTGGTCATGTTCTGTTGCTGAGGAAACAAAGGATGAAGATGTTTGAGGAATGTTAGAACGGAATGGCACCATTTCAAGCATTCTTTTAGTCTTAGATGTTGCTTCAAGTTTTCTCATATTCATTATTTTTTTACTTACTTCCTTTTTCAGGGCCAGATCTGTGGCCTCTGTGGAAATTATGATGGCAACGGCATCAATGACTTTACTACAAGAAGTCAGTCTGTGGTACAGAATGTCCTAGAGTTTGGAAACAGCTGGAAAGTATCCTCTACATGTCCTGATGCTTATAGCATAAAGGACCCATGTTCTACCAACCCTTATCGAAAGTCCTGGTCAGAGAAGCAGTGTAGCATCATCAACAGCAACGTCTTCGCTGCCTGTCACTCTCAGGTATTACCAGGGCAGAAATTTACTGTGTGAAGACTAGGTCTGTGTATTATTGAAACTGCTATCTTAGTACATTTTAACGTGGTTGCCTAATTCATTAGCATGTTTCACTTTGAGCTGTGTCAGGAAAACTTCAATCTGAATTCCACTCAACAGGACAGATTTATACTCCCTACCCATAAGAAATAAAAGGACATTTAGTTCATAGGAAGTACTGATGTATTACAAAAGAATAATGATTTTGTAATTACTATATATTTTTTTGTATTGTAACTTGACTGAAAATTCTCATATACTATGTACAGAGCACAAGCTCAATGAAATAATAACGTAGTAATGAAGTATCATCATAGCTTTTGTCTGACACTAAGTACATACCAAACAATGCAGAGTAACTGTGCTCTTCCCATTACCTTAGTTCTCGCCACTGGCACAGACCTTCAAGTGCAGTTGCCTAACATTGCTTGGAAACACAAATCTGATTTTCCACTAGGACACAAGTCTGGGTGTCTAAAAATCTGTCAATATGTGACTTGAATGTATCACTTCGCATCATCTCTGTTTTTTAATACTATACACAAACAAAAGAAAAAGAAATTCCTGATGTAGGCTTTTCTTCTGAGATATTAGCATTTTAAGAAAAATTACCCTAGCAAAGCTGAGAAAAAAATTAGAAGGCAGGATGTAAAGTATTAAATTTCTTTTAAATAACAGGTTGAACCAGCAAAATATTATGAAGCATGCGTGACAGATGCTTGTGCATGTGACACTGGAGGAGACTGTGATTGCTTTTGTACAGCAGTAGCTGCCTATGCTCAAGCATGTAGTGAAGTTGGTGTCTGCATAGCCTGGAGAACCCCATCAATCTGTCGTGAGTTTTATGTCATAAACACTTCTTCTGAGAGTGTAGTTAAATGTACAATGCCTTGCTGATGTCCTTGAATTCACACTCTAGGTATAATATGTATGTGCATTATAATCTCACTGTGTAAACTCTTCTCTTTAAGCTGTTTTGATGGTCACACAATTTCACCAATTCATTCACTGTTTTCGAGACTGTTCAAGAAGCATTGCAGGGATATGATGAACAGACATGAGTCAATAAAGCTCTTTTTTTTCCCTGAACACGTCCATATTTCTGTTTCTCCTTAGCACTGTTCTGTGATTACTACAACCAACAAGGGGAATGTGAATGGCACTATAAACCTTGTGGAGCCTCCTGTATGAAGACCTGTAGGAACCCAAGTGGAAAATGCCTCCATAACTTGCCAGGTTTAGAAGGTAAAAAAAGCTGCAAGTACCTTTAAGTTGGTACATTTTATTATTTTTTAATGCTTTTAATGGAGTGTATTTCCCCTATCGGTTGCATTTGCACTATTCAATTTTCTTCAACATCATTATATCCACACAAGTGGAGGCAGAGTATGGAAACTGGAGTTAAAAACATCTCTAGTTCTTGTGGGTGGGTGCTTCTGATGCTAGTATTCTGCATTACTTCCTAGAATTATTGGAAAAATTTAAGTAGTAAAAGTTACGACTATTAAAAACAAGACCTACAAAAACATTCTGCCCAAATAAAACTTTCACTGGCTGTCCCTCATTCTCACCTTTTCTACCTTTTCTATGCCCTTCTTCTCCCTTCAGGATGCTACCCTAACTGCCCACCAGACAAGCCATATTTTCATGAGGATCAGATGAAATGTGTCAGTCTCTGTGACTGTTACGATAATGAAGACGGAAAGATATACAAACGAGATGAATGTAACTTATGGTAAGACTTAACATACCAGTCTAACTGGGTACAAGAAAACATGATAAAAACAGCAGTGGGAAATTGCATGTCCCTGTTACATGACAGGGCTAGTTTACGCTGCCTGTGTAAAAACAATGCCTTACTATCTAATGCCTTTTTTTTTTACTACATTAGTAGTAAGAAGTTCTTATGGTTGTAAATCCTCAGCATAAAGATACAAGAAGAACAGCAAGTCCTTTATCACCAGGCTTTCTCTATTTCCCATTCCTATGGCAGGAAAAATATTGTTCCAGGATTATAAATATCTAATAGAGGTCTACTTCCAAGGATTTTATTACATTCTTACACTTCTTGTAGTATTTATCTTGTAGTATTTAAACTCTTTCTGTTTGAAGCCTACTTTTTAGTACAAAACGGTTGCAAATGCAAGGAAAGTAATAACAGGAAAGGAGGAAAGTCTTCCTTAAGACTTCTACCTGTAGCTTTGCATAATATTTAGCTTCACTACTATTTTGTAAGTTTGGGATTAATATGAGAAAGATTTTGGAAAACAATGGCAAAAAGAAGCCAACATGAACTGGACATTCAAGGAATAAACACAAAAAAAGTGCCCTGTCTTTTGATGTTACTATCTGGCAGAAGGATGACTAATTAAATTACCTCATAATAAAAAAGATGTGTTTTCTAATGTTTTTTATTGCAGTGAATGTACATCAGAAGGTTTGCAGTGCAAGTTCGATGATACAGGTAAGACAGCTAAGAAGAATACTTAACAAAATGAAACACTGGATATTATCTTTTCATAGATGCCTGACAATAAACTACTTCTGAATTACAGCATGCCACTGCATTTATGAAGGGAACAGCTATAAATATGGTGAACTCATCTACAACACCACAGATGGAACTGGATGGTGTTTCAGTGCAACATGTGATGTCAACGGAACAATAAACAGAAATATCTTTAAATGTGGCATCTCTACAACACCACCATTTACATTTTCTACAAGTCAGCCCACAACTACTGCTTCAGGTAGGAATGAATAATCTTTAAAAAAACTGAACAATCTCTGGAAGGGCCTGAAAATTGCCTGAAAGGAGGGGGCTTTTCATCAGTTAATGGCATATAATTTTACTTTAAACTGTTGACTTTGCTGGAGCCACCAACTCATCTGGCAGCTTCTGTTGCTAAAGGAGACCATAATCAAGAATGTAGAAATGAATACACGTTTCTTAAAATCTCACTTTGTTTCACCAAGGTTTCAACATGATTTTTCCAGGGGAAAAAAAATAATAGAGCTTATTAATCATTGCACCCTCGGTTTTAGAACATCATCAGAAAACACAGAAGACAATTACCAATCTTTGGAACCTGTCCTGATTGTATTTAGTTACCAAATCAACAGTTTCCTTCTACTCCTGGAGTACATTTCTACATTACTTCTGCAGTCATTATAATGACTATATAATTCTGAAAAATTGTGAGAAACATTTCCACAAAATTCTACAATACTACATAAATACTACAATACTAAACATTTAAGTTTTCCATTAACTAACATTCATATGCAGAAAGTGGTATATATTCCACATGCTTATCTCCATAATGCTAAGAATATGAAAATAAATCTTATTAAATAAGTAGAAAATACTTATTAGATTATATATTTCATATATATTGTATATGTGTATTCTATATTATAATGTATTTTATATAAAATACATATATGTTAAATGTATTTTTTCTATTTTCTATTTATAAATTTATTACATGTCACAATATTAAAATAAGTAGAAAAGTCATTAACCTGTAAATATATTTTAAAGCCTGTGTGGTTATGCAGTTAAGTTTAAATAAGTACAGAGATAATACCAAGGAGAATTAAAACCTCTGCTTACTTACACTATAGCAACCATGAGATCATATTTTCCTATGTATTGACATCCTACATGGAGGATATCATATTAGCTATATTTAACTATAGTTTTTAAACAAATTTCACATAAAATACCATTAGAAAAATAATACTTTGGGATGAAATTCAAGACTGTCAAGCAAATTCATTAAAATTAAAATACGACTTTAACATATATAATATTACATAGAACATTAAAATGTATGGAAGATCAATAAGTTTTAATGGCACCTTCCTTAATAAGAACAGATAAGACTTATATTGCCTCCTTTTACTTGCAGAAATGGCAACCACAACACCAGTAACAACTGTATGTGTGAAGAATGTATGTGCATGGTCAGAATGGTACGATTCCACACAGCCTGAAAACAATGAGGACAGTGGAGATTATGAAACATTTGAAAAACTCAGAGATGAAGGATACAGTGTGTGTGAAAACCCTAACGCTGTTCAATGCAGATCCAAAGAACACCCAGACACAGAAATAAACAATCTTAACCAAACGGTAGAATGTAGTCAAAGCACAGGACTAATATGCAATAACAAAGACCAACAATCTAAGTACTGCTATAATTATGAAATCAGAATATCATGCTGCAGCTACATACCATGTTCAGAAATAGAAACTACAACACCAAGAACCACAGAAGAATTCACGACGACTGCTGTAAAACCAACGCCATATACATTACAGACAAGGATAAAACCAACAACACAAAAACAAGAAACGGAAGCGCAAAAAACAGAAATACCTACACTGTCACCAAGAGACAGAGAAAGCACAACAGGTTATCAGACCAAGTCAACTCCAGCAGAAATCACCTCTGTGGCAACGCAGACATCAGCATCACCAAGTACTGCCTCAACCCTCACAGAGTCAGCGATGTCAACAACCACAGTCAGCACAGTTATCATCAGGACAAGACCTCTGCCAACAGAAGGTACAACCATCAACACACCCACACCAACAGTGCCCACCTCAGCCAGTGCCACCACCACCACCTCCAGGACGACAACAGGAAGCACCACAACGTCCACAGCCACATCTGCTCCAGTAGAAACCTCCACGGTAGCAACACAGCTTCCTACGTCAACCCCTACAGCCACCACTACCCCTGAATCAAAACTAAGAACCACCACTGGCACCACTGCAATCCCCAGTACCACTGTCCCACCATCACAAGGCACGACGACCATCATCACTACCACCAGCAGCACCAGCACCACAAAGACCTCTCCGTCAACTCCACCAGGCACAACCATCATAATACCCACCACACCCACACCAACAGTGTCCACCTCAGCCAGTAGCACCACCACTACATCTAGAACCACTGCAGAAAGCACCACAATGTCCACAGGCACATCGGGTCCAGCAGAAACCTCCACGGTGGCAACACAGCCTCCTACATCAACCACTACGGCATCCACTACCCCCGAATCAAAACTAAGAACCACTGCTGGCACCACTGCAATACCCAGTACCGCTGTCCCACCATCACAAGGCACGACCATCATCGCTACCACCAGCAGCACCAGCACCACAAAGACCTCTCCCCGTCTGACAGAAGGCACAACCATCATCACATCCACAGCACCTGTGCCCACCGCAGAAACCACCACGACTGCCATCACCTCCAAGACCACAAACGGGTGCCAGCAGCGCTGCGCCTGGACACAGTGGTTTAACCTGGACTCCCCTAGCTCTGGTAGCGAAAATGGAGACATAGAGACATTTGCAAAAATAAGAGCTGCTGGGTATGCACTGTGCGACAAGCCACAAGATATCGAGTGCCGTGCTAAAGATTACCCTGATAGGAGTCTGGACAAACTGGGACAGAAATTTGAGTGCAGCCTTGACGCCGGTCTTGTGTGCAGAAATAAAGATCAGATCACAAAGTATCCCTTTTGCTTTGACTATGAGATCAAGGTGCTGTGCTGTGACTGTCAGACAACATCAGCACCAACAACAACCACTGCAGGCTACACACCCAGAGAAACCTCCACTGTGGGAAACGAAACTCCAGCAGCAGGAACTTCTGCCTCCACCCTCACCCAGCCAGCAACAGTAACCACCGCTGGCACCACAGTTATCCTCAGCACCGCTGCCCCAACAACAAAAGGCACAACCATCATCACGACCACCAGCAGCACCAGCACCACAAAGACCTCTCCTCCACCACCACCACCAGGCACAACCATCATAATACCCACCACAGCCACACCAACAGTGCCCACCTCAGCCAGTAGCACTGCCACCACCTCCAGAACCACTGCAGAAAGCACCACAACATCCACAGCCACATCTGCTCCAGTAGAAACCTCCACGGTGGCAACACAGCCTCCTACATCAACCACTACGGCATCCACTACCCCCGAATCAAAACTAAGAACCACCGCTGGCACCACTGCAATCCCCAGTACCACCGCCCCACCATCACAAGGCACGACCATCATCACAACCACCAGCAGCACCAGCACCACAAAGACCTCTCCTCCACCACCACCACCAGGCACAACCATCATAATACCCACCACAGCCACACCAACAGTGCCCACCTCAGCCAGTAGCACTGCCACCACCTCCAGAACCACTGCAGAAAGCACCACAACATCCACAGCCACATCTGCTCCAGTAGAAACCTCCACGGTGGCAACACAGCCTCCTACATCAACCACTACGGCATCCACTACCCCCGAATCAAAACTAAGAACCACCGCTGGCACCACTGCAATCCCCAGTACCACCGCCCCACCATCACAAGGCACGACCATCATCACAACCACCAGCAGCACCAGCACCACAAAGACCTCTCCTCCACCACCACCACCAGGCACAACCATCATAATACCCACCACAGCCACACCAACAGTGCCCACCTCAGCCAGTAGCACTGCCACCACCTCCAGAACCACTGCAGAAAGCACCACAACATCCACAGCCACATCTGCTCCAGTAGAAACCTCCACGGTGGCAACACAGCCTCCTACATCAACCACTACGGCATCCACTACCCCCGAATCAAAACTAAGAACCACCGCTGGCACCACTGCAATCCCCAGTACCACCGCCCCACCATCACAAGGCACGACCATCATCACAACCACCAGCAGCACCAGCACCACAAAGACCTCTCCTCCACCACCACCACCAGGCACAACCATCATAATACCCACCACAGCCACACCAACAGTGCCCACCTCAGCCAGTAGCACTGCCACCACCTCCAGAACCACTGCAGAAAGCACCACAACATCCACAGCCACATCTGCTCCAGTAGAAACCTCCACGGTGGCAACACAGCCTCCTACATCAACCACTACGGCATCCACTACCCCCGAATCAAAACTAAGAACCACCGCTGGCACCACTGCAATCCCCAGTACCACCGCCCCACCATCACAAGGCACGACCATCATCACAACCACCAGCAGCACCAGCACCACAAAGACCTCTCCTCCACCACCACCACCAGGCACAACCATCATAATACCCACCACAGCCACACCAACAGTGCCCACCTCAGCCAGTAGCACTGCCACCACCTCCAGAACCACTGCAGAAAGCACCACAACATCCACAGCCACATCTGCTCCAGTAGAAACCTCCACGGTGGCAACACAGCCTCCTACATCAACCACTACGGCATCCACTACCCCCGAATCAAAAATAAGAACCACTGCTGGCACCACTGCAATACCTGGCACCACTGCAATCCCCGGTACTACTACTCTACCAACCCAAGGTACAACCATCATTACTGAGACAAGCAGAGCCAGCACCTCCAGCACCTCTCCAGCTCCAATACAAGGAACAACCATCATCACACCCACACCAACCACAGCGCCCAGCTCAGCCAGTAGCACCACCTCCAGAAACACTGCAGAAACCACCAAAATGTCCACGGCTACTTCTGCTCCAGAAGAAACTTCCACGGTGGCAACACAGCCTCCTACATCAACCACTATGGCATCCACTACCCCCGAATCAAAACTAAGATCCACCGCTGGCACCACTGCAATCCCCAGTACCACCGCCCCACCATCACAAGGCACGACCATCATCACAACCACCAGCAGCACCAGCACCACAAAGACCTCTCCTCCACCACCACCACCAGGCACAACCATTATCACAACCACCACAGCCACACCAACAGTGCCCACCTCAGCCAGTAGCACTGCCACCACCTCCAGAACCACTGCAGAAAGCACCACAACATCCACAGCCACATCTGCTCCAGTAGAAACCTCCACGGTGGTAACACAGCCTCCTACATCAACCACTACGGCATCCACTACCCCCGAATCAAAAATAAGAACCACCGCTGGCACCACTGCAACCTTCATCTCTTCTCCAAGCACTCGTGTAATACCAGAAACAAGTACATATGTTACACCGAGCAGAACAACTCCATGTTTTTGTCACGTGTTTGGCAATTTGTTTTCTCCTGGTAAGTGTCTTATTTTTATAAGCAGTATAAGCTTTTTATAAATCAATACACTTTATATTTTAACAATATTTTCTTGGTTTTTTTTTCCTGAGGTATTTTCATTGGTCCTTTAATTTCTCCTCCCATTTTCCTTTTTAGGTGAAGTTGTATATAACAGAACAGATAGTGCTGGCTGCAATTTTTATGCACTTTGCAGCAAGGAATGCGAAATTGACCCTTTCCAGGGACCCTGTCCTTCGACAACTCCTTTCACTCCAGTTGCCTTAGAAACTACAACAGAAGCCGCCTCATCCCCAGAACATGTATTTTCTTCTGTCTCTCCAACCACAGCGACATCTCTCACAACTTCAGTAGAAAGGAACTGTACTGATGTCAATCCTCCACGAAAGGTGGTTCTGCTTGCTATTTTCTAATATATCACCACTGCAAAACCAGTCCAATTTCTGTCCTCTGATAGGCAATTCAAATCAACTCGTATGTATTTCAATAACAAAACCAGTCATGTTACAAATGATCTGAGAACACACAACTCTTCTACCTGGCATTACCAGGTTTTTAAGTAATGTGGAGATGGAAGAGCATACTAATAGCGTGGGAGAGACTTTTTTTAATATGAGACATTTAGATATCACAGAAATAAGTAGACTAGCTAGGAAAGTGTTAAAATCCCATTCTTTCTACACAGAAGAAAATTCTGTAATTGTTCTCAGATTGTGTGCTATTGAGGCTTGAAGTCATATGCGAAGAAAACTCTAATCTGAACTCCCTACCTACTTTGAGAGCCTATCTCAAGTTGAAACAGAACAACTAGGGTGAGAGAGCACTTAAAAATAAATCATTTGTGTGTTTTCAGCCTGGAGAGAACTGGATAAGTGAATGCCAGAAGTGTGTCTGTGACCCTCTCACTGCTACCGTACAATGCCAGCCGCTCCAATGCCAAACAGTTCAGAAACCAGTTTGTGACCTAGGATTTATTTCCATGCCTGTACTACCACCGAAAGATCCATGTTGTCCTGAATTTGAATGCCGTGCGTATTAAAAATACCTATATACACCCCAGTAAATTACATTTGTACTTCTGCTAATATCTAACCAAGTTCTTCATGTATCACAATAACAGCAAAACCGTCTTTAAATCATTCTGGCTCAGTTAACATGCATCATTTTCGGCCAAATATGCATTAGAAGTTTATTTAAAAACAAAATGCTATTTTCAATGAAGTTTGCTAAAAGAATTGGAATGGGTGGGAGAGAAGCATAATACTTTGAACCTTCAAGTGGTCTGTGTAGCTCAATTATCCCCATATCGAAAATCATAAAGGTTATTAATGATTTTATTTAATGTCATTAGCATAACATTGGAGCCCATTAACATTAGCCCAACTGCAGCTAAACTAAGATGCAGAAAGATAAGAATAAGCCAGCAGAAACCTTAACAGTTAACTACAAAAGCAAGTAACATGCAGCAATAATACAAAGTGTAATCAGCAACTGAATTTTCAATGTATGAAAAATGTTATACTTACACTGCTGTTGAATGCTCATGAAAATTTAAAAATCCAAGTTATATATGTTCATTTATATACATAATTTTTTATATACGTATCTTTTTATGCACATATATTTATAGAAAAAGAGTAAAAAGCAAAAGGTAGCCACAAATTAAGCCCAAAAGAAGGTCAAAACAAAGGAACAGCAAAGTTTGAAGTAGTTCCGTGAAAGACAGGAATAGACTCTGCCATGTTGTCAAGTTATTTATACTACCACAGTAAGAATACCTTTTTCTATTCAGAGTCAATCTTCCATCCAAGCTGTGTTCTGAGAGGTCTTAAAGAATCAAAGACAAACGCATCTTTGAAGGTTACTGGAATTTTAGGGTTCAAAGAGGAAACAACTAATTTAATCTGAAGTGAACCTGATATCAAAAGGGTAAAAAAGGGATTTTTCAAACTCAAAGCCATTCTTCCTCAACTCTTCCAGATAATTTCGAAGAATTTTAAATATCCAAGTATACTAAATATGAGGCCTAAGCATGTAGGGGGGATCAAATTCAAGTTCTCCATAATCTCTGTGTTACTAACAAACCTTGATAACAACTTGACTTCTCAGAGTTGCACAATTTGAGTTCACTCTGGAACTATTTTGTTGTTGTTTTTCAGAACAAATACCTGACATCTGTGTGATTGACGGTACAATGTACACGGTGAGAATGCTATACTTATAGTGTTAAATTGCTGGAAGTGAAATGTACACGCTTTCTACCAAAATAAGCCCTTGAGAAAGTTTTCCCAGTATATGTCTTTTTATCTATAGCCTTTAACTGGAATGTTTGGGTTGATTTTTTCTAATGTTAAAAACGAAATTGTCACAGAAGAGTTCCTCAATATGTAGCATAAAACAAGAAGGTACCATGTTTAGTGATGTACTTTCTTCTTAAGCTCTCTCCTACTTCTAGAATTAATGAATTTTCAAAACAAGCTGATGTATATAGCTCAAACTCAACTACTCTTTGAAATAAACCCAGGCTACCTTCAAAAATAAAGCTAGGATTTTTGCTTTAATAGATACCTAAATATTTTGCTAAAATTGGTACTTAGGTCATTTAGTCAAAATTCAAGCATTAGCACTTGAGCCCTTTGGGGATACATTTCAGAAAGACTAAAATCCATGTGTAAATTTCTATCTCTGCATATGTACCCGATTATTTTAATCTCCATTTGAAATTTATAATTGTTTTATAACCACTGAGCATGACTTACAGGGAAAAAAAATTCTTAAATGCAGCACTGAAAAGCTGGTAAAATAGTAAGGCAGTAAAAACCAGTCTTATCTGCATTTTAGTAATCCATGTTTCTCTTTTTTTATTGCTTCATTTAGTTTCCTCCAAATATGTGCTATCTTGCAAAGCATAAAGCCAAACAACTGTATGTTCTAAGAGGGCTGAACAACGTATTTGCACTTGCATTTCAGCAACTGTAATGGTTCTCAGCAATGTTTTCAACTCTGCCTGTACGTTATATAGAAACTGTTGCCATTTCAATTTTTTTTTTTCCATCTTCCAGGTTGGGATGTCAACAATAATCGATTCATGTAAGAAATGTACCTGCAGTTCTGTGAAAGATCCGGTGACTAAGGCAAATATTGTACATTGTGAAACAGTTCAATGTGAAAGCTCTTGCCCACCGGTGAGTTCAGATTCTCTAGGCTGCCCAGTCAGCCCTCAATTACAGGAAGACTAGAATTGTCCATCACCAATGAAACATACTTTCTCTTTCATCTCCTTGTGAGTAGGGTCATCAATATATGATTGAAGATGGAGAGTGCTGTGGGAAATGTATTGAAGTAGCTTGCGCAATCAAACTAAGTAATGACACTGTTCATGTGCTCAATGTAAGTATTCCTTTCATTTTCAGATCTATTAGCCAATACAGGTTAGAACAGCTAAAAGTCAACTCGTGTCCCTTACTAGTAAAAATCTAACACTGAAATTACTCTAAAAACAACACACGACTTTTCTGAATCGAACACTTACTTGGAATAACAAATAACAAATGTGTGGTTAACTGGGCAATGGTTTCTAATTTATAGTCTGAGTCTCCACAATCAGGATTTAAACTTTCAAGCTAGCCACAGTTTGAAAAATTTCACTTTTGCCACTTGAAAGAAGTTCAGAAGCATCTGAGAATCTTTGAGGTGTAAGAACTTAATTAGCTTAGACATTTTTAAAGTAACCATACTATACCTGATCTCAATGAAAAAAATAATTGTTTTCCTTTCTTATCAAATCTTAGGTTGATGAGATCCTGCCACTCGACCAGTGCAGCCATTACAAATGTGAAAAAATTGAAGATCAATTTGTTGCAGTCCAAACTAAAAAAGTTTGCCCTGAGTACAACCCAGGAGAGTGCGATCCTGTAAGTTTCAATTAATTCTTCATCAATTGAATGCAGTTTAAAAGAACAAGGGGTGGGAAAGAAGACGATAAATCACTCTCACTAAAGTTGCAGGCATATTTTAGGAATGAAATTAATCTTGCTGTAATCTTAGCAATAAGAAAAGCTTAGTATTTTTATATGAGGCTACAAGGATTCAAGGCTTCTATGGTGGGGACAGGAAGTCACCCATGGTTTCATTCAGTGCTCATCACAGACGAGACTTCTACCCAGTATTAGTAATGCTAACTCACATTCATACTCATGATTGTCGTCTGTGTATTAATACAAATTCTCCTTTACTTTTGCAAAGGATGAAGCAGAGACTACTCCTGATGGCTGCTGCAAAATATGTAAACGTAAGTAATGCTGTGTTCGTGTTTTCTGCTTGAAGAGTGCTGTATTCAACTTCTAACTATCTTTAATCAATTGGAGAATTCTCCTCTGCCCCAGTTTTTACTTATTATATTTATCAAGACCCTATTTTTCACTATTTATTCAAAATTAAAAATCAAATTTGTTTTCCTGATACTGAATACACAACTCAAACCACCAATGCTCAAGCATCTGCATTTCTTCTAAAAATAGTGTACAGCTGAGATCAAAGAATAACCTGGAAATTCCAGATAGATTACTCAGTATTTCCCCGCCACTGTCACACGCTGCAGATGCTCAATAAACCAGGCACCATGCACTTTGAGATTGTTTTGGCCATCATATAGTTCTGAGCTAGAGATTTGAACTATGTTTTTTCCCCTCTTTTTTTAAGCTACGAACTGCAAACCTTACAGCAAAAAAACTGTGATCCGTCATGGTGACTGTGAATCCCCTGAACCTGTTGAGCTGGCATACTGTGAAGGAACTTGTCCTGGCTCCTCGGTGTAAGTTCAAAAAATCTTAATTTAACACATATATGGCTTCATTTACACTTCATTTATGCTAGTCTCTCAAGTTAGTCAATCACCCAAGGGTACTCAGTGAGATGGCAGAAGTGCTCACTAAGCCACTTCCCATCATTTATCAGTCATCCTGGCTAACTGGGGAAGGCCCACTTGACTGGAGGCTAGCAAATGCGATGCCCATCCACAAGAAGGGCTAGAAGGAGGATCCAGGGAACTACAGGCACGGCAGTCTGACCTCAGTGCTGGGGAAGGTTATGGAGCAGATCACCCCAAAAGTCATTACATGGCACATACAGGACAACCAGGTGATCAGGCCCAGTCAGCATGGGCCTTTAGGAAAGGCAGGTCCTGCTTGACTAACCTGATAGGGAAAGGCTATGGATGTAATTTACCTGCAATTTAGTAAAGCTTTTGACACTGCTTCCCACAGTATTTCCCTGGAGAAACTGGCTGCTACTGAGGGAGACAGTTTAGTGGTAGACTTGGCAGTTTTAGGTTTATAGTTGGACTTGATCTTAAGGGTCTTTTCCAACGTACACGATTCCATGATTAGAAAAGAGTAACAAAGTTAATGCGTTTATATGATTCCATTGAGTGGGATTAGACAATGTAAGCAAGAACAGTTTCATTATTGAAGAGATATGTAATTATAAACACACTCATAAGTGTGTGTGGAACAGGCAAAAAGATGATGTTAACAAAAAACAAACACACACAAAACCCCCACAAAGCTCCCAATAAATCCCCAAACAAAAATCACTGGGGGGTTTATGTGCATCAGTTTTTAATGGGAAGTCATCTTTTCTTTTCCCGGTGGAACACAGGTATTCTCTTGAAGCAAACCAGATGCAACATGATTGTAGCTGCTGCCACGAGTTCAGCACCCAAACAAGAGAGGTGACATTAACTTGCCAAAATGGAACAAGCATAAATTATAACTATGTCTACGTGGAACAATGCCAGTGTATGAATGCATGCACTTCGCAAACTTCTGCACCACCTGGCTCCCAATTGAACCAAATTGCAGCATATGGTTCGCAATTGAAAATCAGAAGAAGAAAGAGATGATGGTTGGAAAAAGAAAGCAGAGACCCTAGGGAAGCTGGAATCACATTTTCCTCCAAATAACTTGTACTCCTTCCCTAACAGATCTTCCATCAGTTTCTGTTACCACCTTTTGGAAAAGTTATATAACATGTTTTGGGAAAAAAAGGTTTAGACGGTCTCTGAAAAATAAAACCAGAAACCATTGTAGCTACATTGCACTTAACTCTTGTGCCTAGAGAAAGCTTTATTACATATCATTTTTATGGATGTAATAGTCCTGACAGACACCACAGTGACAAGAAGAGGACTGTTTTCTTATGCATTTTGTCTCTTATTTGATTAATAAAGCTTTCAGCATTTTTCAATTTTGGTGACTGGTGAGTGTTTGATACCCATCTTCATTACCTAAATGACAGAGTGTCCATTGGCATCAGGGAGTTTTCTAACTCGGAGGGGTATATTCTCATAACAGCCTTGGGAATGAAGACACTCTCAAAACCCTTTTCCCGGATGAGGTTAAATTCTCTCATTCAGGTCTAAAAAGCTCTGCTCGTTGGCATAAAAGGTAAAGAGAGAAAAAACCCCCTCATTTGCTCACTGTATTCTAGTTGCCAAGCTGGTGGGATAACAGTCAGGATGTAGTTTGTTCTCCCTGTAATTAGTGGAGATGCCTAGAAGTGTAATAAACAAGGAAAGGAAAACTTCATTCATCACTACGATATCATGTTTTAGATAAAAGGTGAAGTCAATTAACTTAGTAAAATCAGAAAATTCTCTCACCCATAATTTTCATAATATTCACAAATCAGTTCAGGATATGTTTTTAAACTGTGCATTTGTTTCTTGTGCTGAGATTTGGAATGGATTACACTAGTGAGGAAATTGGCCACCGTAGTTCATCACGTTTACCTGAACTCTTTGGAGCATTTACCTTATCAGTAACTGTTATAATACAAAGCCTGAAATCTGCCCTGAAGGCTTGGCTGAAAAGTAACGGAGGAACTGTTTGATCAAATAATTGCACATTTTATACATGCTTATTTAGAAGTGAAATTCAATCCCCAAGTGAAATCATTAGAGCCCTATCTATTGGCCTTCACAGGTATGACCTGATACCATATGAGGATTAAGCAGTGGGGAGAACTAGGCAGTTACTAGCTATGACAGTGGAGCAGACACCTGTACCAGTCCCTGCAACTTCTCTGACGCAGTAATAAGCCACTTTTCATTGGGAACTTAGGCAGAAGCACAACCAGTTTTACAACTTCACCACTGCATCCTCAGACCCTGAACACCAAAGTATTGCTATGAGAAGACACCTAAACAGTCCTGAACAGAGTGAGCAGTGGGTCAAGCAGTTTACCATCTTCAGCATAACTTCCCAGGTTTCTGGCTTCAAGAGGTTTAGCACTTTGGACATAGCACCATGAGAACAAAGTGTGTCTAATGGAATCTAGACTTGTACCGCAGTGAAAAATGGGCTCTAGAACTGTACTGCAGCAAAAACACAGCACTGCTGGCTGAAGAAGGGCTTCCTATGTGACAGACATTTATGTACGCCAGCCACATTAGGCCTGACGTTACAGTGCAGCACTAGCAATATTAAACCGAGCTAGACAAACTGATGCCTGCAGAGAGGATAGGTCAGGGTGCAGAGCGTAAAAACACAGCGACACTTATGTAACTTAGAACGAAAACATCTGTAAACACTTCTAAACTTGGCTTTGAGGTCAGACTGAAGAGATGAAATCTGTGTGCTTTCCCCCTCTAAATTCCTAGTCCCTATATTCTGAGTGCTTACTGCCACATTCACCAGTAACAAAGCTTCCCTAACATTCTCTGGTCTGCAGGTTTTCCTCAACTATTTTAAGCATTGTATGAGCATGTCAGCAGTCCATTCTAGTTCAAGTCTGAAGCTGCCCTCTAATGGTCATTATTCACTTCTTAGAGAAAACTAAACCCAAAACTAATTCTACTGGAAACTTTAAGCCTTGCAAAGCATGTTCACCCAGAGATCAATTATATTTCCATGTAAAATTATTTTTTTATTTTAAATTTCCAAATTATAGAAGATGTAGAGGCCATTTCTCAAAGCTGAACACCACATTATTTCCAGGTAGCTGATTGGTTACCCATGAAGATGCCTGTGCAATCCTCAGGGTTTATGAAAGAAAACCCACACAAATAATCAGCACCACAATTCACTGCTTAGAAGAAATAATCTTGATTAGTAGGTTTTTGGGTGCATTGGGTTGTTTTATTTTGTTGTCGGTTTGGGTGGGTTTTTTTCTTTGAAAACCAGCCCACTGCAAAATACTAGAAACCACTGAATTTTCTCCATTCTCCTTAAAATACAAATTCAAATTTTAAGAGAAATCTATTTTTGTACCTTTTTTTATCCCAAGCCTACACAGAAGAAAACCCAGGGGATTTGCACTTTAACTAGGAGACAAACATGTAGATTTCTCTTTAGAGCAAACAATATGCTACAATTACAAATCTAAGGAACCTCTAGTAATTACTTTAAAGCAGAGAAATTAGCTAAATAAGAAAACATGAAGACATACATTTGCTTGATATATAAGATATAACCATTTACGTTAAAATATAGCTAGCTATTGTGTACTATATCAAGCTCCTTAGAACTTGGAAGTGATAAAATTCATGTATGCTGTAACTTTCTAGCAAAATTTCCAAATATGTTACATTTATAATCACAGCAGCAAAATAGTTCCAGTTATAGAACTACAGATTAATAAGACTTAAAACAGTATTAATATAAAATGAATTATGAACTCTTTCCTGTCATTTGCATGGGGTATCAAATTAAATAGAAGGTGCTGACTTTTCATCCTGTGGTATTTATCACGATCAAATATTCACGGATTCACAGATTTGACATAGTTGGAAGGGACCTCTAGAGATCATCTAGTCCAACTCCTCTGCTAAAGCAGGATTGCCCAGAGCACATCACTCAGGACTGCATCAAGGTGGGTCTTGAAAACCTCCAGAGAAGGGGATTTGATGACCTCTCTTGGCAGCCTGTTCCAGTGCTCTATCAGCCTCACCATAAAGAAGTTCTTCCTCATATTTGAGTGGAACTTCCTGTATTCCAGCTTATGCCTGTTGCCCCTCATCCTATCGCTGGAAACCACCAAAAAGAGTCTGGCTCCATCATCCTTCAACCCACCCTTTAGGAACTTGTAAGCATCGATGAGGTCTCCCCTCAGTCTTCTCTTCTCTTCTCGAGGCTGAAGAGCCCCAGCTCTTTGAGCCTTTCCTCGTAAGGGAGGTGCTCTAATCCCTTAATCATCTTTGTTGCCCTACACTGGACTCTCTCCAGTAGTTCCCTGTCCCTCTTGAACTGGGGAGCCCAGAACTGGATGCAGCATTCCAGTTGTGGCCTCACCAGTGCAGAGCAGAGGGGGAGAATGACCTCCCTCGATCTGCTGGCCACACTTCTCCCTATGCAGCCCAGGATTCCATTGGCCCTCTTGGCCACAAGGGCACGTTGCTGGCTCATGGAGATCCTGCCATCCACCAGGACTCCCAGATCCTTTTCCTCAGTAGTACTTCCCAGAAGATCCACCCCTAACCTATACTGGTGCCTGCGGTTCTTCCACCCCAGGTGCAGGACCTTACATTTGCCCTTGTTGAACCTCATTAGGTTCTTCTCTGCCCAGCTCTCCAGCCTGTCCAGGTCACACTGGATGGCAGCACAGCCCTCTGGAGCGTCAGCCAGCCCTCCCAGTTTGGTATCATCAGTGAACTTCCTGAGGATACACTCTGTTCCCTTGTCCAGGTCATTAATGAGTATGTTGAACAGGACTGGGCCGAGTATTGACCCTTGGGTTCTGGGCCTGTTGGTTACAGGCCTCCAGCTTGACCCTGCTCTGTTAATGACAACCCTCTGAGTTCTGTCACAGAGCCAGGACTCAATCCACCTCACTGCCACTGCCCCCTCATCTAGCCCACACTTCCTTAATTTTCTAATGAGGATGTTGTGGGAGACAGTGTCAAAAGCCTTGCTGAAGTCAAGGTAGATGACATCTGCTGCTCTCCCCTTATCCAGCCATCTACTTATAATATCATAGAAGGCTATCAGATTGGTCGAGCATGATTTACCCTTGGTAAATCCATGTTGACCACTTCCAATAACTTCTTTGTCTTCAATATCTTCCAATGTCATCTCCAAACAGATGACATCCAGAACAAGTCATTCCATTATTTTCCCAGGGACAGAGGTGAGACTAATTGGCCTGTAGTTCCCTGGGTCCTCCTTCTTGCCCTTTTTGTAGACTGTAGTGATATTTGCCTTCCTCCAGTCCTCAGGACTTCTCCTGTTCTCCATGACCTCTCATAAATGGTGGAAAGTGGCTCAGTGATAACATCTGCCAGCTCTCTCAGCACTCGTGGGTGCATCCCATCAGGGCCCATAGACTTATGGATGTCTAGTTTGGCCAAGTGGTCTCTAACCCAATCCTCCCCAACAGAGGGAAAATCTTCTTCTCTCCAGACCATCCCCCTTGTCTCCAGGGTCTGGGATTCACAAGGTGCAGCCTTGGCAGTGAAGACTGAAGCAGAGAAGGCATTCAGCAGCTCCGCCTTCTCTGTGTCTTCCATCACTAAGTCACCCACCTCATTCATCAGTGGGCCTACATTTTCCCTAGCCTGCCTCTTTTTATTGATATATTGAAAAAAACTCTTCTTGTTATCTTTAACTGTGGTGGCCAAGTTAAGTTCTGCTTGGGCTTTTGCCCTTCTAATTTTTCCCCTACATGTCTTCACTATACCTTGATATTGCTCATGACTAACCAACCCCTTTTTCCAGAGATTGTAGACTTTCCTTTTCTCCCTGAGGTCCAGCCAAAGCCCTCTATTTAGCCAGACCGGTCTTCTTCCTTGTCTGCTCGTTTTATGGGACCCAGGGATGGCCTTCTCCTGTGCTTTTGAGAGTTCCTCCTTGAAGTATGACCAGCCTTCCTGGGCACCTTTGCACTTCAGGACTGTCTCCCAGGGGACACTCCCAACCATGTTCCTAAGCAGGCCAAAATCTGTCTTTCGAAAGTCCAAGGTGGCAGGGCTGCTGGCTCCTTGTCTTGCTTCTGCAAGAATTGAAAATTCTACGATCTCATGATCACTCTGCCCAGGGTGTTCCTAAGCAGGCCAAAATCTGTCTTTCGAAAGTCCAAGGTGGCAGGGCTGCTGGCTCCTTGTCTTGCTTCTGCAAGAATTGAAAATTCTACGATCTCATGATCACTCTGCCCAGGGCAACCTTGA